TTTTAACTTGAACAACACAATCTTCTAGTAGCTGAAAATATAATAGCTGGATGGATAAATATATTGGGAAATATAATATTTTCTCTCTCACTTTCTCTTCCCCAAACATTTCTCCATTTTACTTCAGTGGACCATTGAAGAGTCTCTGGAATGGGGAAGCAAGAACTGCTTATGGTCAACATAGGCAGGCACGTCTAGATGAGGAAGGGAGCCAGACACAAGATGTCCTTTCAAGGTTTGTGTGAAACAGTTGAAGTTGTGTAGAATGAACATGTAACAAATACAATAATGGCAAAATTAAATAAGTGAAGAGGGGGTTTGGTTGTGCCAGGAGAAGTGGAAGCCCCAGGAAAAGGACTGTTTTCCATACCATGCAAAGAGAGGGGGCTGCTGTTCCAAGGGATGTGATATGAGGGTGTCAACTGGGGGCAGCTGTGCCACCAGGGGAGTGGCCAGTAGGGCTGGGACTCTGCCATCTTGCCTGTCAGCACATCAGTAAATAGCTCCTTGCCCTAAACCAGTGGTCACCAACCAGATGATCAGGATCTACCGGTAGATCTTGGAGCCTCTGACAGGTGATCCTGACTGATTTGGCCAAGAGTCTATCATGTGCAAGTGCTTCAGCTGCCCCTCTCCCCACTGCTGTGCATCTCCTGCCCTTTGCCTCGGAGCTGTGCCCCTCAGGAGCCTCCTGCTTGCTGGGCAGGGCAGGGGAGGGAAGGGGAGTGTTGATGTCAGGGTGCCCTTCCCCCTCTGTATCCTATCTCCACAAAGAAGAGAGGGGGGCACAACAGGTAGTGAGTTTGCTGGCTGCTTTTGGGAGTTGTGCAGGGCCAGGGCAGGGATGAACCTACCTTAGCCCCACTGCACCACCACCCAGGAGCCACCTGAGGTAAGCAATGCCCAGCTGGAGCCTATATCCTCAAACACTACCCCACCCATGTACCCCCTCTTGCACCCCAGACCTTGCCCCAGCCCCAAGCACCCCTGCATCCAAACACCTTCCCAGAGCCTGTACCCAGAACCCCCTGCCCCAATCTCCAACTGCCTGCCCCAAACTCAGCTCAGAACCCCTCACACTCCAAATTCCTTAATCCAAGACCAGAACCTGCACCCCAACCCTCTGCCCCTGACTGGTGAAAGTGAGGGAGGATGAGGAAGGGAGGATGGGGTGAGCAGGGGTGGGACCTCAGAGAAGGGGCACAAAGAAGGTGGGGCCAAGGGATTTGGGTTTAAGGTAGATCTTACATTGCACTTAAATTTAAAAAGTGATAGTGTACTTACAAAGATTGGAGATCCCTGCCCTAAACCTACAGGAGTCTGGAGCGGGGAAAGAACAGACCTCAGGTGGACTGGAGAGGATTTGGGGGAGGACAGAACAAGCTGCAGGTGGTCTCGGGATCATGGTGGGGGGGAGAGAACAGGCTGTAGGTGGGCTCAGGGGCATGATGTTGGGGGGGAGAAAAAGCCATAGGTAGGCTGGGGTGGAGGGAGGGAAACAGCAGGTCCTGGGCAGGCTGGGGTGATGGATGGGGGAAGAGCAAGCGCCAGGTGGGCTGGAGGTTGGTCCAGGTTGGGGAAGGAAAAAGCTGGTCTCAGGTGAGCTAGGGGGCTGGCTGGAGGAGGGAAAGAACAGGCCATGGGCAGGGTGGAGTGAGGCACTGGAGGGGGCAGTCTTGGGTGGGCTGAAAGGTGGCCAGGGAAGGGAGGGAGGGAAAAAGCAGGGCCTGGGCAGGCTGGAGGTGGGTGGCCAGGGGAGGGAGGAAAAGAGCAGGCCCTAGGTGGGCTGTAGGGGTGGCCAGGGGAAAGGGAAGGAGCAGACCCTGGGCAGGCCCCAGGTGGGCTGAGGAGGTGATGGGGGGGAGAGGGGTGGCAGCCCCCAGCCTGGTGCACCTCCCCACATCCCCAAGTCCCTGCCCTGAAGAACTAGAGATGTTAAATATTGGTTAATTGAATAGTCACTTAACCTCATGAATTCTTATCTGTTACTAGATTATTCTATAGTCCCTGGGGCTGGGGGCTGGCAGCCAGTGCACTATGGCCCCACTCCCGGGGAGCCCCCTGTCACTCCATGCTGCTGCCTCTGTATCAGAGGTAGCAGCGTGGGGTGCCAGGTGGGAGCTGGTCTGCAAGGGGCACCAGTTAAAAAGCACCTCCCTCGCAGACCAGCAGCCTGTCATCCTGTGCTGGCAGCAGCCCCTGTCCACGGGGAGGGGGAGGAGAGCCTGAGCTCCAGGACCCAGCGTGAGCAGGAACTGATCCGGGCTGCCTGATTTCCTGGCTCCTAATACACTTTAAATGCAGAGCCACAGTGGGATAGGGGCAAGCCTGCTAAAATATTTACTGGCAAGGGGAGGGGGGAAATGCACATAGTCTATAGCACTAACCTATCAGCTTTTACTTAATCAGTTAATCGACTACATTGTTACATCCCTATGAAGAACCTAGGCAATGACGGGTAAATCTGCTAGTTACAACATAATTTTAGCAGCTAATATACTCATGAACTGTAGATAAAGATATTAGTCACTTTGAAAGATGGGATTACATACTCGGGATAGCCGTCCTAGAAAGAGTGGATAGTAGAGTAGTAATGCAAGGAAAGGCAAAATGATAGTCAGAGTGGTGTGATTTCAAATCTGCAAGGATTTCTAAGAAATAGCGATAATTTCTATTCTGGTGCTTCACATAGACCAATGACCATTTTAATGTCTAACAGCACAAGGAAAAATTAATTTAATTTACCAGATAGGGCAGGATGCTTTCAGCATTGCAACCCTCTGGGTCACACTGACCCAAGTGCCATTTTGCAAATAGCAATCTCAACTAGGTCATTGCAGTTGTGGCCTATTCTGGTATCTGCATAGGGAAATATGGTTAGTTGAAAGAAGTGTTGACTCCCAATCATTCCACATTTTTCCTTGCTTCCTTTCTTGGGGCATGCTTTTATGCTCATTTAGGAAATTAGAACTTAAATCATGTCCTCTTGCTTTTGAGATAACAAGGGGAATGGTTGTTATGCACAAGTTTCTGCCATTAGCATCAATGGTAGCAAGGAAAATGTATGAAGAAACAGACCTCACTTAAAATGAGTCACTTGTAATTGCAATTACGTTAGTTTCTTGACACATAATTCAAAGCAATTACTGCTTATCAATATTTTCATTACAGTGCTCTTGCCTTACCTTGGGTTAATTCCTCAAGATACAAAGAAAACTATGTTTTATTGCAACAATTGAAAGCCAGCTGTTGTAGACATAGCAGCCGCTGCTGAAAGCTTCACTCAAGAACATGCTTTCTTTTTTTGGAATCTGGCAAGTAAGACTACTTACACAAGTGGACTTGCTGATGGACTATACTAATTGCAGCTGTGATGTGAATTTTTCTTGGTCAGCACTGAACATGGAAAAAGTGTAGCATTCTGCAGAAATGTTACAATGTTTTTCCATATAGGGTTGCCAGATGGTTGAAATATAGGGAGCCCCCTCTCAGGCCCCCCCCCCCAAAAAAAACACTGGGAAAAAATTCTGTTGAAGGGAAAGTTGTTGAGTTGTTGAATACTCAGGTGTCCAGTATTCTCTGAATTTTTTTACCGGACAGGAAGCAAAAATACTGGACTGCCCGGGTGAATACAGGACACCTGGCAACCCTACCCGTGGATGGTGTTAAGATGGACCTAGCTCCAGTGTGGAGCTGTGCTGATTTACACTGAGGATATGGCCCAAACCTGGGAGTATTAGCAATTGTTATAAAGTTGCATAAACGTTTCCAGTGTAAGATCCTTATTACATGTTTTAGGATTAAATTTCAGTCAATTCAAAGATTAAGATGAGTTTTTTTTCTGTTTAAGTGAAATGAATTCCACCGTTTCATTTCCTAGTACATAAAATGAAGGGGAAAATTATGCATATTTAAACTTTTATTTAAAACAACTCTTTAGCTCAAATGACAGGAGGTAAAACATTCTAAGTTTTGATTGGACCAGTTCTTGAAGTGTGGGGGAGGAAGCATTCTTTGCAGGATTGGGGTTCATAATCAATAAATTATCTTCATAATATACTACCCAAAAGGCAACACTTCACATTTCTCTTAATTAGTTAAGTGTCAAAGTGCTTTATTGAAAAGAGGAGAGCACTAAGCACATTGCAAGAGGGATCTCTAATGTATATAATACAGTGCACAGCCAAAGATGGGTCTTACTGAGCATGTGACAAATTTACCAACACAGTATACAATTTAAAGCTAACGAGGTGTTTTGGATTGTAGTTTCATTAAGCAGAATGGATTCATCTGGAAAAGTATAGTTATCAGTGGCCAATAGTCTGAGCTTGCCATGGTTTGAAATGTGAATGATTTGAGAAAGGAGGGACTCAAAAAGCAGAAGAGTTATCTCTCTCAGTAGATATAAAGAAGTTTTTCCTGCCGGACAGCAGACTGTTCCTGCTCGGTGACAGAATGATGTCATCAGCATCAACAGGCTCTCTCAGTGCAGTGAAAGCTGCCAGAGGGGAGTAGGCATGAGCTGAGGGCACAGACCACCAGTATCACCATAAGTGCATTTAACACAAGAGTGTGTAGAGGTGGTTAACACCAAATCTATTAGCTTCATGTTGGAGCATTTCTGACTTAAGTTACAGCCACTCCGGAAGTCTATACGAGACAAAGGTAAATTTGGGTTAAGAGCCATATTTGTGTTGAGAGAGAATTTAAGGTATAATTTCAGTGTACCAGTTCATGCAATGTTGCATCTTTATACCAGATGAGGATCAAGAATGCTGCTGCCCAAGGAGGGCTGTAAATCTCCCCCAAATAATGTCCCCCTAGCCACAGCTGTGACATTTATTTACAATAATTCACAAGGTGATATTTGGGTTATACAAAATGAAGAATTTGTAAAAACTGAAATCTAAGTAATCTGAGTTCTAAGTTATATTCATATGAGTAAGTCTTAAACTTGTTTTTGTTACTTTATCAGGGTGACAGCAAAAAGACAACCCAGATAAACAAATAGCACTTTATTAAACAAAATATCTTTGCAATACAGGGAGTTACCACTTAAGCAGAGATGTTTAATATTTGCCCCTCCCCCAAAAAGTTACACAGTGGGAGAGTGAAAATTAGTAAGCAAAGAGATTGTTTAAAACACACAAGTACATAAGGTGAAACACTAAGCCCCTAACCTGCATTTCTTGAGGAATGGAACATGACATGTATGCCTTCCAAATAACTTATCAGAATAGTTAAGAGTTTAGATCAATTGTCCCCCAAACTTTTTGCTCACATTCCCTCCTTACCTGATAAACCCTCTTGCCCCCCCTCACCCCAGAGTTGCAGTGAGGAGTTAAAAGCTAGGAGCAGGGACAGAGCTATGGCAGGGGTCTGGAGGCTAGGCTGTGGCTAGGCTGTGGCTAGGCTACATAGTCAGAAATGACACCAACACTGCATCAGGGACCATAGTAGTGATCAGGGGCTGTAGAAGAGCTGGGGCCAGGATTGGGGCCAGGGCCAAAGCTACAGCTAGAGCCACAGATGGGAGTGGGGCCATGGTGAAAGCTGGTGCCAGGAGTGAAACTGAGGGCTAAGTAGGGTTGGGTTGTGCTCCTATGGAGGGTGACCTGGGCCCTGTTGTAGCCCCTAATATGTTTCTCCACATCCCTCTAGGAAGGCCCACTCCACAGTTTAGGTACCACAGGTTTTGATTACTAGTGCATAGGAAAACTTCCTTTACCTTGGTTTACTAACAAGGTATTGTATAACATGGTGCAGGCTTAATACTTTACCACACATATATTTTGATAACCACTGTTAAGGCTTGAAAATAGTTTTCCAACATTCAACCAGGAGTTACTTTGTTTTGCTGTTTCCCCAGTGTAAAAACATCAAACTGCAGCAGTCAGGTCATTCCCTATCTGAGAATTCTAAAACACACAGTTGTTCCTTGCACAACATTGCCACAATTTTAGTTGCAATTATTGCTTTTATAGCAACAGGATTGGACCCTGCAATCAGAGATGTTCCTAGGAGGTGCAGGGTCTGGGAAGGAAGTGACAAATCCGTCATTTCTGGAACCAACCTGCCACTTCCCAAAGTGCAGGGCCTGGAGCAATCACCCCAATTTGCTTTACCCTAAGAATAGCTCTGCTTGTAGTGTATTTGCAAGATTTCTCACCATCCCTGCACACTTAATATGACAGTGTATTGCCTATAGGTTAAGATATTGTTACTATGCGTTTTATAGACACACCCAGAAGAGGCATACTGAGTCTCAATTTCTGTAAATGCACAAAGCTCAAGTATTTGACAGATAAACACAACGTTACAATTCAGAACAGTATGAGTAAGTGCATATCAAGGGAGGCAGGAAGCTGGGAAAATCCTGTTCATTCGCTCTTCATGTTCTTGTCAGATGGGTCCAAAACAGGAGGACTACTCTGGAGCAAACTGTTTCCATTAGCTTCTTGCTTCTTTACCACGCTGCTGAATAATGGAAGAAAAGAATGGTCAAATTTACTGGATTTTGTTTTCACAGGAAATTCTTGAAGTCTTACTCAAAACAAAGGAAGTTGAGCAACATGCTGGTTGACAAACCTATTATCTAACATTTCTAGAGCAACTATTATTGAATTATCTGGGTACTCTTCCAGCAATCATCTCACAGGATCCAGGAATCCATGCATGGGGATGGTAGGACTTAATGCATGTTGTCCACTTACTCTCTAGAGATGGTATGATTTCTTTTTTTTTTTGCTTGGGCTGTATAATGTGGAACGTTCCCTATGTGGAAGAATTTTGGAGAGCATCAGATGATATAAAAGACCAGGCAGAATGATTCCACTGGAGCCATGCTGCCTGAGAGCAGGAGAAGTGGTAGGGAACTGTGGAACCATTGTAGAGACAGGGCTTCTGCCTAGTAATCCTGTTTGGGCAAATCTCCCAAGAGCCATAGCTGGTTCTGTTTGTCCTTGGTTATGCAAGGGACATTGACCTGCAGATGCAATATCTGAGGAAAATCCTCTGAGAGAACTCTGAGTTCTTCTCCCTCCACCCTTTTATCAGATGGGTGTTTTGGAGCTTAGAAAGTAATACAAGTTCAATCTTCCTGGTCCTTAGCTCTGCTTCTGCTTCCACCCTTCATTGCTGCCAAAGGCTCTTCTCCCCCACAGCCCTGGAGTCCGTTTTTTCCCCCACCCCAGGCTGCTACTGCCCAGAACTCCACTTCCTCCCCCCCAGGGCTCTGCCTGCCTCCCCCCACCCTGCCACTGTGGCCCCCTGGGGCTCCACTTCCCCCCACACACACTGCTGCCACTCAGGGCTCTGCTTCCCTCTCGCTGCTGCCACCTGGGGTTCCGCTTCCCCCCATACCATCATCCAGGACTCTGGTTGTTTCCCCTCCCCACTAGCTGCTACTGCCTGGGGATCTGCTTTGCCACCCCTTGCTGCCGATGCCTGGGGCTCCACTTCCCCAGCTGTGGGCTCTGCTTTTTCCTTGGCAGCTGGGGACTCTGCTCCCCTGGCCCTCTAGTGTGACAACACTCCTGGCCCCAGCCAACCAGTTTCTCCAAATGAGTACTCCCAAGGGGTCACCGATGGTACTGGACCAGAGGAATTCCAAGACTAGAGAAATCCAAATTACAGAGAGGTTCAACCTGTATTTCATGGATAGAGCTAGTCCCTAGTAGTATTAGGAGGAGGCTATAGGTGGCACTACAGCTTAATCCTCTTTAGCTCCTCTTAAAAAAACAGACAGAATGCACATGTAGCAGTGTGACTTAGGCCCTCATTTACAATACAAATGAATTCTAGTCTGCTGGACTATTTATAATACACTTGTCCCTGATCCAGTTAAAACATGATTCTAATCTGTAATACAGACGGGACCTTAACTGTGTTCTGTGAAATGGCCAAGGTTTTCGCTCAGTCATGGAACATAATCAAAGTCCCGTCTACACTACAAAGTGGAACCATATTGTAACCAGGTGTCCCAATTTAGTTGTATTTGAATAGTAAAGGAGCCCAAAGACTTCTTGCATCTTAGCCCTGGTCTATACTGCACAATTACTTTGGTATGACTATGTTGCTCAGGGATGTGAATAATCCACATGTCAACAACATAGTCATATTAGCCTATGGGCTGGTGTAGACAGCACTATGTTGGTGGGACAGCTTCTCCCGCTGACATAGCTACTGTCTCTTGCGGAGATGGATTAACTAAGATGATGGGAGAAGCTCTCTCCCATGGTCCTAGAGCATCTTTAATAAAGTACTACAGCGATAGAGCTGTGCCAATCTAACACTTTTAAGTTTATATCTGCCCTTAGGAGAAGATGGTTGTAGTTAAAAAGAACACTGTTAGGTCAAATCTGACCAATGCATAAGTTTTAGACTTTATAAAACAAGTGTTTACAAAACATAATACTTACAGAAGTATTTCCACAATTTTGTGAAAAAAAGTTCTTGTTTTGCTTTTAAAATGGGTATTTCTTTACAGCGGTTGCATAAAAGCATTGCACAATTGTTGTAATGAGAGAGAACTAGAAATCAAAATTGACTAGAAAATGGCTATAAAAGTAAAATTATTCTATTTTCTTCTTCCAAATCAAGAAGTTTGAAAAGTAATATATACTGTGCACAAGTAAGAGGAAATTCCATTGTTAAAACTCTTTCAATTTAGTAATCTAAAGAATTACTTAACAGTTACATAATGATCAAAAATACCACAGGAATCAAATGACTGAAACCCAAACCATAGCTAAAGTTTATACAAGAGCCTCATTTAATAATGGGGAGGGAAAAGATGAAAAGCATGACTATTCAGGATTTTTTAAAAGCATTTCCCAACCATGTGTTTCTTTACAATGATTTAATCCTTTCTATTTGGTATGTTCAAGCCCTTAATCCTGTTAATTTGATGCTGTGTTTTAAAAGCTGAATAATTTTATCTATTTGACTTGAGGCTACATTAATATATGCACTTATACAAAGCGCTTTTGATAACTATTTCTTCCTCCTCTTCTGTAAGCAGAAAATAGACCCAGATATATATTTATATTATACTACTAATAAATATACTTTAATTTCTACTAAAATATACATTTATGTTAGTGGTTGTACATTTATCTGCTGCATATTAATGGACAAACAATATGCTACGCTGACCAAGAACAATGAGTTTATTATCCTAAGGGTAATCAATGATGAGCAACAGTGGCAGTTTGACATTACAATACAGAACAATATGTTAATGCTTACTTTGGTGTATACCAGTAGTTGATTAGAGTTGAAAAGGCCATGTAGCAAATACTCAGTACTCCAGAAACTGCCAATGAGACGACACCCAAGCCACACAGCACACAAAGAAGGGCTATGCCACCTACTGATATTACAACACCTAGTAAGAGAAAATTAGTTATTTGTAGAAATACATATACAAGTATACACAAGGCGCAAGAGATCGACTGCCACTCTAAATTCATACTATCGGGGGAAATGGTGTAGCGCAACAACTAGCTGATCTCTTCCCAGTGTAGAAGTTGAAGGCCTGATGGTCCCCATCCACAGGAAACTCCATAGGCTAAAGGAGAGGAAATCTCTGTGACATTCCCCTTACAGAGTTTTCCCCTGATGATTGTCTTGGGCTGATGCTTACCTCTCTGTGAAGTAGCCTATGGAGCCAGCCCCCAAATCTCACATGTCTCCTAGGCCCTTTGCACATACCAAAGGATGTAGGGGGCAGAGGCAGGATCTTCTACACAGAAGTCCACATGGCTGCTTAGCAAACGATGTGCATCCTGCCTCAACTCAAATGCTGGTCTATCCCTTCCCTTCCAAGTGGATTCCCTAGCTCATAGGGAGCCTTGAAGAGGAATAATCAGGCCCAAACTTTATTTAGTGGTGGATAGGAGATCTGGAGGTATTCTTGAGTAAAGTAGTTTTAATACGTGACATTTATTATAGTCCAAAAGAAAAAAAAAAAAAATGATATGCTCTTCTAAATTTGCTCTTGTAAAATCTCTTTGAAGGCCAGAGATTAAAGTTATTCATGACAATGATAAATGGATTAACAGCTTACAGGGTTGGGATTACCTGCACCCAAGACAGGAAAATCCTTTCTCCCTTTTTAATTAGAAAACTATGCTGATGGTAAAGAAGAACTCTTGCAGTTTTTGAAAACAGAGACATGCACAGAAAAGTTTTTACAATTTACATTCACCAAGAACTTCTGTAAGTGAAAGATAAGAGAAAACAAAGTCCTTAAAGTAAAAAACTTTGTCTAAAAAGTTACTGATCTTTGCAGGAAGGAAATTAATAAAGATAAAGAAAATACCTTCCATTACTATAACACCCATACAGGCCACTATTGCTGTTGTAACCACAAATATCAGAAAGAATGCAACAGGAATAGATGATACTGCAATAAACACCAATAGTGATAGGGCGACGAAAGGATGATCATCTAAGTACTGACCAACCCGAGAATTCATAAAAGCAACAACCTGTAAATGATTGAAAAGAAAAGTAGAATTAGATCAGATTTTAATGTTAATTGTTTAAAGTCTGTATTACCTGAGAAAAGGATCAAAACTACTTCAGTAACATTTTTGGGTAGAAACATTATATAAGTCAATGAATTATGTCAGAGTCACTGGTCATCCTGTTTCACAAGCACGAGCATCTGTCTGTTTAGGTACTTCTAGTGCACTTATCAACATAGTCTCTGAATGCTTCAAAAAGTCTATAATGAGCACACCAAAGGAAAATTTCTCCAACACGTTGAAACACAAGCAGAGATCTCAATGGATCTACTACAGCCCCCGCTGATTAAGTGTAATGGGTAAGCATCACTCACTACAAATGATGCTTTCTGGTTCACTGGTTAACTATTCACATCCCTAATATGCGGGGGGGGGGGGGGGGGGAATAACTGTATAAGTCATTTTTAAATTGGTGTAAATGTGTCCACACAAAGCTTTTTACTGGTATAAATATATTGGTTTGGAAAACCCAAACACATCCCCAGTGAAAATAGTTATACCAGTAAAGCTTTAAAGTGGCTCTAGCTCTTTCATAGCTGAAGATATGGGAGGAGAAAACTCCCTGTAGCCAGAGAGCATGAAAGGGAGATGGAAACCCTACTGTACCTGGAAATGATATGCACTGTTTTTAAAGCCCAGACTGTGCCCAGAAAGGTTATTGATATTTGAAATTCACACAATTACCCCCTTCAAACAATTAAACCTTATGAAGATACACTAATCTTTGAGCACATTTGTGTTTTACTCCTCTAAAACAAACAAACAAAAATCAACAGAAAAAAATACTATGTTGGTAGATCACAGCAAAATATATCTGCTGCTCAAAATTGATTAAGGCCCAGTCCTGTCCTTCTGGAAGCCAATATAAATTTGCCACTGACTTCCAAAGGCCCATAATTAGTCCCTCTCTCTGTTAGGTCAATGGGACAATGAATATACAATACCAGTGAGGGGTTGATGCAAAATGTAAATATAAAATAACGGGGGTTTCTAAAATTAATCCTTAAATGAAAATGGACATGTGTTTTCCACCATTTGTGCAACCACCATCTGTCAGCTGGAGAAGATCAATTACTTAGGTAAAACATCAGTGTTCTACTTAGGTGCTGTGTTTTGGTGTAAACACATCAGTGAAGTAATGACATAGGATTACGAAAAAGAAAATCTGGGTTCCATATCACAGTTTCCTTGCTGTAAAATGGGGATACTACTTGCTACCTATTTTACTGAGCTGTTACAAACCTTAATATTTGAGGGGAATTCAGATGATACAGTAGTGAGCACTACAGAAATGCCCCCACATTTTTTAAGTGTTTTGTTCCTTTTGAGTCCATTTGTTTAAAAGAATTAACTCATTTTATCACTGGAAATTCAATATTAGTATTATAACTAACTGTCCTTATCATATGACCATAAAATAAAATTTGGCATAATGCTCCAGCAATGATAAAAAGAGGAACATTCTATAAACATGCTTTGTAAAATTACAAAATAATTCAAAACCCACATTGGAGTTGGTGTGGATGGTTTGCATCATGGAGTGCCATTGTTTCTGTAGTTCTTGCATCTCTTTTGACATTTTGGAACCTTGAGTGTTGATCTTGAATCCTCTTCTGGAGAATGGATACTTTTTAACCATCCACCCTACTTAAAAAGTACAAAAAATTACTAACAGGCTTGGGTATGGTAACATGAAAATTTATCTTGGTTTGAAACATAGATATTTAGTTAATTATATTTTAATGTTACATGTAAAACACATAAAATCTAACGTATTAGTGTCAATTCCTGGCAGCTCTCCTGAGACATTCCCAAGTTCAGAAAGATTGTCTTCAACTTCCTTAATTTATGTCTCCAACTTTCTTAATTTATAGCCTGTATTTAACAGTAATAATATAACCAATTACCTAGTAGGAATTCAGTTCTATTCAGGTATGGATACCACATACATTTCTGTCTGAACAGCAAAAGTTCTAAAAGTTATATTCATGAGGCTGTATGCATGCATATATGGCCACTGGGCCCCTCTGGGAGAGGGAAGGGATGAGGGGAAGGAAGGCAGGAAAAATCAGCTTCTGCCAGGTTAGGGGCCCTGCTCTGCATCAATGGCTGGGCCAGCAGGGCAGATCCAGCCTCAGAACTCCCAGGGGTGAGACTAGCAGCTAGGGCCATGTTCACATGGGGCTGGTAGCCTGAATCCAGAGAGTGCCGCAACACCCTCTCCACCACTAGTTTCTGTACCAATGCCTTCTAAGACCAATTGCACTGGATCATGGGGCCCCCAAAGCATGGGGCCTGGAGCAGTTGCCCTGATTCACCATATCCCAGGGATGGCTCTGACAGTCAGATAGCTAACATCAAATCTCATTCAACAGACATAAGCTGTTTTCAAAAGTTTGAAGGTACATTATATGCTCCTGAAGCTTAAAGGGGCAGCATCAACTTAAAATTGCTTATCTGAAAGTTTATCCTATCATTACAACAAGGAATGCTATAATTGAAGATTAGAAAACATTTTATCTTTAGTTTTCTGAAATTTTACCTTGCGATTTTACATCTTTGTCTATAACCCATTTCACCATAGTCAGTTAACTAGGAAAAATATTTTTTTTTAAATTTGAGGATGTAAAACTTGGCAGAGGGCCTCAAAAGCAAGTATATGCAGAGGCTGGTAACCTTTGGTTTGTGGTCCATCAAGACTGTTGGGCCACAAGACTGTTTATGCTGAATGTCTGCAGGCATGGCTGCCCACAGCTCTCAGCCAATGGGAGCTCTGGAAAGCGACATTGTCTGGCCACAGGCCAAAGGCTGCCAACCTCTGGAGTACTACATGAAATTACTTTTAATCTTTGAATTGACTAGATTTCAAATTGACTATCTCCTGACATGGTCACTTTTTAAAATTACAGAATCAATGCTGTTCCACATGAGTTTTCAAATAGGGTTTATCAGCTGATTAAGCTTCCAAAATCACATTGCCTTTGACATTTAAAAGCAAAATACAATATTACCTTTACTGGATAAACCATGAGTTCAAAAATATTATTGGGGCAGATTCAGTTAAAATGGGAAATTATAAAATTTTATTCAATTAGTGGAAATGTGGGTCTAGATTATTTTATCCTGAGAAGGGGTAACCTACCAGTTACTATTACAAACACCATCTACAAACCTCACAAATAACTCATTGGCTGTGTCTACATTGGCAAGATTTTGCGCAAAAGCGGCCACTTTTGCACAAAATCTTGCTGCCTGTCTACACTGGCCGTGAGTTCTTGCGCAAATACTCTGACCCTCCCACTCAGGGATAAGCCCTCTTGCGCAACTGTTCTTGCGCAAGAGGCCAGGGTAGACAGGCAACGTTAATTTCTTGTGCAAGAAAGCCCGATTGCTAAAATGGCCATTGGAGCTTTCTTGAGCAAGAGAGCATTTACACTGGCACAGATGCTTTTGCGCAAAAGCAAATCTCTTGCGCAAAGGCACATGCCAGTGTAGACACTCTCTTGCGCAAATACTTTAACTCAAAAACTCTTGCGTTAAAAGTATTTGCGCAAAATCTTGCCAATGTAGACATAGCCATTAAGTACTGTCTGAGTCTCCAGAGACTTGTTCTATCTAGAATAAAACCAATGATTTGTATAGGTATGTAAGCAACTGGTCGACTATCCGATAAGCTTAAGCTTATCAAATAGTTGAATAGTGACTCGACTAGTTGCTTCTCCTCCCCGTCACTTGCTGCCTCTAACAGAGAGAGGCAGGAATGGGGGGAGGAGGGGCCAGCGGGGGGTCTTCTGGGCTTTGATTATACTCACAGCTTCTTGCGCAGGTATGGCTGTTATTGCGCAAGAATCCACAGTGTGTCCACACTGCCCGCCTGCTCTTGTGCAAGGAAATTTACAGTATGGTGTAGTAAGAGAGGGCTTCTTGTGCAAGCACTATGCTCTTTTTTAACAGGTATAAGCCCTCTTGCACAGGAGCTCTTGCACAAGAAGGCAGAGTGGATGCTCGGCAGAGATTTCTTGTGCAAGAAACCCCTATGGCTAAAATGGCCATGAGAGCTTCCTTGCGCAAGCGAGCCTCCACACTGCCACGGATGCTCTTGCGCAAAAGCACAGCTCACACATGGCACTGAGGATGTTTTTTGCGCAAGGGGCGCAGTGAGGAAACGGTGCGAACAGGGACTGAAGCATCCCTGTTTGCGGCGGCCAGCCCTGTAATCTGAGCTGTCTACACTGGCCCTTTTGTGCAAAAGCTTTTACGCAAAAGGACTTTTGCCCGAACGGGAGCAGCATAGTATTTCCGCAAGAAGCACTGATTTCTTACATGAGATCGACAGTGTTCTTGCGGAAATTCAAACGGCCAGTGTAGACAGCTGGCAAGTTTTTCCACAAAAGCAGCTGCTTTTGTGGAAAAACTTGCCAGCTGTCTACACTGGCCGTTTGAATTTCCGCAAGAACACTGTCGATCTCATGTAAGAAATCAGTGCTTCTTGCGGAAATACTATGCTGCTCCCGTTCGGGCAAAAGTCCTTTTGCGTAAAAGCTTTTGCACAAAAGGGCCAGTGTAGACAGCTCAGATTTGTTTTGTGCAAAAAAGCCCTGATCGCGAAAATGGCGATTGGGGCTTTTTTACGCAAAAGCGCGTCTAGATTGGCATGGACGCTTTTCCGCAAAAACTGCTTTTGCGGAAAAGCATCCATGCCAATCTAGACGCTCTTTTTCGAAAATGCTTTTAACGGAAAACTTCTCCATTAAAAGCATTTGCGGAAAATCATGCCAGTCTAGACGTAGACACTATGTTTAAAATGCAGAGCCACAGTGCGGATGGCTTCCAGAGCCAGCACAAGTAGGGACTGCTCAGTCCCAGCTCAAGCTGGCTCCTGGAGCTACCTCTGCAGAGCAGTCCTATCGATTAATCATATAGTCGATACAAACTGTATTGACTATACGATAAGCCTGATAACCGCATTTTAACATCTTTAGTTTGAACAAAATATAGTAGCGATGAGTGACTTATTGTCTGTAGGAGATTTATCTATGCCATGTCTAAACTCCAGGGACCAGAGCAGGTGCTCCTAACTTATGCCACACTAATGCCATAGTTAGAGCTCACGTGGATAAAAATTTTGTATCCACAGCCACATATGTATCCACAAAAATGAGCCACAGTTATACACACTGATATCTGTGGATGCTGATACCTGTGGATATAAAGCAAATATCTGCCAATTTGCGGGGTTCTAGATACAAATATAAATGTTGTATTCATATCCATATCTGTGAAATAAACTGTGGATATCTGCAGCCACATCCGTGGATGAGAATCCCTGCGGATATCTGTGAATTTACAGGACTCTAACCATAGTGCAGACACTGTTTTTTCTGCTGCGGTAGGAACACCATCTCCTGGAGCTATGTCTCTGGAGAAGCATTCTTTGACTGGCCCAGCTGTATGGGGGGTGGCTTGCCACAGTTTGCACCAAGGCCTTGGCTAGCACAGCTGCTGGGACACTCAGGGATGGGAGGGGGGAGATGAAGTTTTCATCCCTCGATGCCACAGCTGCAGTAACTTTACTGTTACGTGGGGATTGAGCAGAGTGGGCTGGGTCCGAGTGCGGGTGGAGGGGGGCAGAAGAGAGTAGCAATCAACACTGCCCGAAATGGGAAGGAGGCCAGGCTGGGGAGGGCGCCCTGCCACTGAAAAGGGGGCCTCTGGGAACCACCTTCTCCGGGGGGGATGGGGAGCTCTCTGCCTGCCGGGGAGGGCTTGAAGCTGGGCCTCGCCTTGGGACAAGCCTTTTCTTGGGGACCGGGCGGCTCTGCGGGCACGGGGGACGCTTCCCCCTCCCCCCAGATGCCAAGGGCCGGGCGGATTCCCGCCTCCTCGCGACGAGACTCCTCGCGCAGCCCCCAAGGCGCCGCTGCTCCCCCTACCTCAGAGCCTGACTCCCCACTCCTGCAGCCCCCCCCCCGCCCCTCCGGCCCCCCCCCC